TGCGCTCCGGCCACCCCCGTAAGCTGTCCGAGACGTCGCGTGCCGTATCAACCACCGTCGCCCTGCGACAGCAGCGCGTCCTCGGCGAACAACAGTAACTACGGCCAGCAGCAGCAGCAGCAGCAGCAGCAGCAGCAGCCGAATCCTTGCACTCCGGCCAACACCAGCTGTCCGAGACGTCGCGTGCCATATCAACCGCCGTCACCCTGCGACAACAGTGCGTCCTCGGCGAACGACAGTAACTGCGGCCAGCAGCAGCAGCAGCCGAGTCCTTGCGCTCCGGCCTCCACTAGCTGTTCAAGACGTCCCGCACCGTTACAGCCGCCGTCGTCGTCCTGCGATAGCAGTACGTGCAGCAACGGCAGCAGCAGCATCGCGAACTGTTCCCGGATCCCTTCGCGCCGATCCAGCTGCGACCGCGGTCCGTGCGGCACGTCGACCCCGAGGGTCGCCAGAAGGGCCACAAGCCGTTCAGACGCGCCGTTGAACATAAGCCGCATCAGCCAGAGGTCCACGACCGAAGATCGAAGCGAACAGCGGGTCACCCCTGGTGCGTCTAACGGGACCCCGCACTGCGAGAAAAATGCGTGCGGTTGCGGCGAAAACAAGCGGCAACAAAACGGCCAAGGATAAACGTAAACAGTCCACCGACCGATGGTCCACGCGGTGCTGTTACAGTGTTGCGGACGCCCCGACGAAATTTAATATATTTTAACAATAAAAACATAATTTTTACGCGGATAACTCACGTCAACGTTAAACTTATTATTGGGGCTGGAGGGGATAACTCTGGGTCCCGGTAAAATGTCGAACACTCGTCCAAGGTCGGATGGTTTAGAAAAAAAAGTGCTAATGATGTACCCCGTTACATCGCTACTTATTGTTTATACTTACTCTTCGTCGACAAGTACACCTACATTATTACATGTGTGAATAATAGTCATTTAAAATGTATGTTTTATTTCTAGTCTCTACACATAAATCCATTATTACTATTACTCCTAAGCGCTACAGGCCATAATTATCCTTGACTTCCAAAACTATTTAACTCCACTCATATCTGTCTTAAGTTATATTTCTCCAGTTTACTATAACCATCAGCTGTAAATATTTCTATATTCCACCCAATAAAATCTACTTCTTGGTCGGCTCTATCTTTATGTTCATTTCATTCTTTGTACATGACCTAACCATCTTATTCTTCCTACTTTAATAAATCTTACTATATTTTCATTTTCTAAAATGTGTTCTATTTCGTTGTTAGTTCTTTCCTCCAACTCTCTTTTTTAAATATCGCACCATTTATTTATAAACATTTTATACATATGAATCTATAGTCGAATTCATTTTATTCAATTAGTTTTTCGTCTTATGGAAAAAATAAGTAATACATTTTTAGTCTATCGGAATCCGAAATACTTACGAACTTTCGTTCAATTTATATATATATCTGGTATACAATCTTTGAAACATTACTAATTATCACACTAAGGTCGTCGTGTGTGTTAGACTTAAGTATTGGCACAACGTGCTTAATTGTATATACAATATGTTTAAGAACGAGTCTATAGAATGAAAAGTCTTATCTTTCGTCCCAAGGCGCGCGATCGAGTCGTTTGGAAAACAGTTTAAAGATTTAAACCATATTTAGCAGATAATATTAGATGTTTTTCCATTATTTTTAGTTCTCTCACACGAACGCGTCATATCACGCTAATAGTAATTTTATGAGCATTCGTGAAAACAATAATTTGTTAATTTATTTCTATGTTTTTCCCTAGTATCTATTTTATTCTCAATATTATCTCGTGGATTTTACCATAAGGATTATAACATATCAGAATTGTATGTTCGTAATGTCTGCTGCGGTAGTGACCGATCTGTAATAGAAACTAATATGCATATCTTCCATAAGAATAATGGTATTTAGAGTCAGCGGATAAAAACTAGTAATTGGTCGTTTTATTAGTAATGCATAGGATTATTTGTATACAAAAATAAGTATATATTAAATAAAAAAATAATTAGTTATGTTGTCTAGACACGATAATCGATGTTATTCAAGACTAATTATATTGTTCGATGTCAGAATTATGTCAACATTTGTCAACGACATTACTTTTGGTTTCAACCACGAGTTTTACATCATCAGAAATCACTTTTCACTTTTCACGTGACAAATGTTTACGACTAGAAACATTTTTGAGAATTTAAGGTAGGTCAATTTACGTATTATTCTACGTGCTCTACACAAAAACATACTTTTTAATGCATCGTTGTTTTATTCATTATGTCAACGAATGGCGAACTTCTGCAGTTCATACCCGTTTTTCGTCAATGTTAGAATTTCAGGATAAATTAAAATAACCATTTCGATAAAATATTTTTATTGAATAGCTTATGATTTAACGTAAGACCCAACACTAAAAACTTAAATGTACGTATTGCTGGTATTATATGTTGTTTGTTCGATTATATATTTTCCAATCATTATTAAATTTAAAAAACTATAGAATTTTTTTTCGCTTTTTTTACATAAAATGATCCTTAAGTGATCGTGTTCTTTATCCAATCCGAGTAACAGGAGACCGCGGTGTACACGCCTGGATATTTCGGCCGAGAACATCCGAGCCCCCAGCTGACAATGCCGCACAGATAGAAGCGATTGTCGTTGCCCATGCACGATAGAGGTCCACCGGAGTCGCCCTGAAAACAAAAACAATAAGTTCTCCGTCATCCAGAAACTCGCATTTTTTTCGCGCAAATATAATATCATGCATACCGCGACTTGACGCGGGCGAAACGGAGAGTTAAGTGCGTTGCAGCGTGAAAAGCTAAAAACGATAGATTTGATTTTTAATATTTATGCGCCTTCTGTCGATCGCCGAGCGAGATACCAGTGACGCCGAAACCGAACGGTTCAGAGACAGGGCATGTGCTATTAAAACGACAAGGCCCGACCACCAACCCACGGTTGGACTTAGAGCCATGTACACGGTCGGCTAGAACTTTTGAGGGCCCCGAGGTTAATCGGTTCCAGGCTTCCTTTACTTACACTTGTTCCGCCAAGATACACATACTGCTTTTAAATAATTTAGTACAATAAAAAAATATTAAATTTTGCTTCTTATGCTGCGGCAAATGAAATTGTAAAATAATTTTTTTTAAAAGGCTGAGATCCAGGATCTAAGCTTCCCTGGTCATAGAAGAATATTTGCATCGCACGATCAATATCAGAAAGATAAGACATGGGGATTAATTTCTACCGAGTAACGCGCGCCGAACAGGAGTCGATCACCGACCGTATTTGTCTTTAATTCACAGTAACCCAGTCACTGGAGTCCGGTCCAACTCGTCCGCCATTGAAGTATTATCCGGATAGACCGTCTGCACCACCCGAATGTAGGGTTAATTAAATATTATATTACGGATTAAATATACAGTACGATGTAGTGTATTTGATGGATAGCAATACCGCATGGCACCCAGAGACGTATTTAGAGTTTTAACGCCCCAAGTAAAGTTTTATTACCTAAACTAACCCTGCCTATCCACAGTCATGGAACCGATGCGACGCGACACTGTACAGTACCTGACAGGAGTCCGCCTCCCGTTCTGGAATCCCTCCGCCGCACATCACGCACTGGTTGAGGTATTCGCCGTAACCCGCCTTGCTGTACAGGTCCACGCAGGTCTTCACCGGCAACAGCGGCAACGCCACCTTCTGGAGCACATGCGTGAAAACGCCGTTCTCCGAAACCCTTCCCCATCCGGTCACAATGGCGAGATCTGTGGAATTCGCGCGAACCGCATAGATTAGCTCCCGTTACCGGAAAATACGAGTTGTTGCGAGCACCTTCTACCATGGGGGAGGGGGGTGCCCCGATACGAGGCGTCACTGAGGGGTATCGAAGGGTATCTTTGGTACTCCAGAAATTTTTGTGTTTGTGTGACCCCAAAAAAAAAGTCATAGGTTTTAAAAATATATTCGATGTTTATTATTCAAGTGTGTATCAATATAGACTATCTATTATTGTCATTGTATCCAAAACAATTGTATTTCGTGATAATTCCAATATGGACGATAAGACTGTACGTCTTACCAAGATTTATGAAGAAGAGCTTAGCCAGTTATCGTATAAAACCTATAAAAATTAATTTTTCACATTCTAAAAATAAATTTTATCACCTCAAAATTTGGACTCTAGTGACGCTCATGTTTTCGCATTTCACTTATATGTAAATTACAATTTATTAAGCATACCAGTACGTTGATGAATATGTTTATCGGCACACGATTAACGTTTTAAATTTAAAGCGGTCTTGACGAAAATTGAATTTAAGCAGAACAATTTTTTATGGGAACGTGGGCGGTTTAAATCAATTTTCCCAAGGAATATATAAATGTACAAAAACCACCCCTGCTCCGGTGCACGTGTATAAGAAAGGTTTTCGGGCAGGTAATGTTTAGCGCAATGTTTTCATGTTCCGCACCGATATTCTGAAATAATACGTTGCGATACCTACGACCGATTACTCTTAACGAATTAGAACATCGGAAGTAATGCCTCAACAAGAAATATCCGACATCTAGGGTAACAATAAAATAGGTGAAAGAATGTTCTAAAAAATTTGATCTCGTCAGCTATATACCGTTTTCAAAGTTCATCATATTCCAGTACCGTATACGCTGCGAAAGTATCATTCTCGTAACAGTTGCGATCGTTTCCTCATCCACGTTTTATGGGCAGTTTTACAACACAAATATCTTAAAACTATTAGTTCAAGATCATGACGGTAACCGTGATGTATAGCTATGAGTACTTATCACCGTTAATATTGTTATTGTTATTGGACGTACCGTTGTCGAATGTCGTATGGGGCCTCGGAATACAAATCGGAGACACGCGGCCATTTTTGAACGACAGCGGCGGGGACAACTTGAGCAACGCGATGTCTCGGGAAATGAATTGCTTGTTGAACCCGTCTAGGTATACCTCCACAACGTTCACTCTCTGATCGTAATCTTGGGAGAACACAAGGTATTTTTTTTTTTTTTTTAATTTTCGAGATCAGACGAGAAATCGCCGATTAGTCGCGAAACCAGAAGAACAAAAAACAGCTTTACCTTCGGGCGTGTAAAGGTCATGTTTGCCGGCCACCACGGACAACAGGTCTTTTGACAATCCGTACACGCAATGCGCCGCCGTCAGTACCCATTTTTCGTTGATTACGGATCCACCGCAAATGTGTCTGGCCGTCCAACCGGTGATGAGCTGCAACGATATTTGCCACGGGAACTCGCCTGTGCAATTAACAAGTTCAAGTTTGCGTAAAAACTATACGACCGTGAGATCCCAACCACAACTGTATGAAACGTTTTGTACCACTGAACTTGGTAATTGGGCAGTGGAGTTTGGGGAGCGAAGCAGATCTATAGTCTTACCTTAGCTCTGCACTAATAATGCTGTAAGCATTGTCAAAGTACTTATATTCAACTGATAATGAACTGATATGAAAATATTATTGGTATGAATTTTTTTTTCGAATAAACTACCGAAATTGTTATCGGTATTTTTGTCTAATCAAAATAGTAATTTTTTAATAATTACTGCTTTAAAATACTGAGAATATTATGTAATGATCCTTGCCAGTATTCGCAAGTAAATGTTTGGATAATATAGTTTAGGTTTTTTCCCCGTGGCAAATTAAAAAAATCGAGATTCCACAGTCGAGAATTATTGATAATCAGGGTTCGGAAATTCATGCGCAAAAAAAAAAAAAAAATAAGTATACGTACTAATATGCGGTATTAAGAATTAAAATTATTATAAGATGCAAATATATACATTATACGCAACTTTTGCTTTGATCTTAAAATAAGAAACAAACAAAATTGCGAATGTTAACATTTATATTATAAACTATTAGTTTTGACAAATAAAAAATACGAGTTTTCTAGGTTAGGTAAGACACCACAGATGGGTGAGATACAGAGACGGGTAAATGGTATTAATTATTATATTTTAAACTTGCTTTAGAGATAACGATTTTCAATGAAAGAGATCGGGCGAATCAGTTTAAATATCTCAAGGTGGTTGATGTAGTTGAAGAACAAAATTTCTTAATAAAGTAGTTTGAACTTTTAATATTTTAACTTTGACAACAAAAAAATTGAAAAAATCGAAATTTTCAAGTATCAGCACGAATATCATTAAAATAATTCGAAACTAATATGTCTTTAATTAATATCGTTTAACAGATATTCACTGAAATATCCGATTTCGTTAAAATTGTATTTTTTCTTCCCAGAAACTTTATTTTGCTACCAAAAAATCATTCGAAAAATCTTGCATTCAATTTCAAGTCTTAAGTATAAAAATTAAAAGTATTATTCATTTTTGACAGCATTATGGCGAGTTACCGTGTTTTTTAATATTTTTTCAAAATTTAATATCTAAACACTCGTATTTTTTTTCTTTTATCAGTAATATTTATGATAGATATATGAACAACTATGTATTACATTTTCAAGATTTTCTGCCAAATTAAACTTATTTTATGGACATTCTCAAAAAAAGTTAATAAAACATGAAATTTTCAACTATCTATAAGTTAATTAAAAAAAATAAATATAAAAATTTTTTTGAAATCTTACCATCTACAAGGAATGGGGATATAAGTATTCGATGAACATTGCATGCCTCCAAAGTTATTATTTTTTGAGATAAAAGTAGTTTAAATCGAGATAAAAAATACGAAATACTTAAATAGGCCTATAATAATTGAGCATGCACCAGTCCAATGCCGACGTTAGATAAATAATGTATTCATTTTTAAATTCTGCTATCAAAAATGAATAATTATAATCATTGTTAAAAAAAAACTGTTTGGAATAAAAACGGGCAAAGTGGACTGTTATCCTGATTCCTCTGTACACGCCAATAACAAATATTATATTATATTATATGAATCTATAAGAAACAAAACTCAAAAGTATGAGTCCTGAGCACTGTACATTTAATGTACACAAAGCACATAATTTTTCATCGATTACACCAGCAGACGCAGTACTAAACAGCATGTCCCAAAAGTCCCGTATCACCCTCAATATCTCCATGGGAAATCAATATATTTAAACACGGTTTTTTTTTTACAATACTTATTATGGAAATTCTGATTGAATGGTATAAAATTCAATTTTTTTCTTAAAAAAATTAAAAAAATAAAAAAAAAAGTTTTGTGCATTTAAAAATTTTCAATTTTTAAGATAGCCATTTTCTTGAGCATATTTTTTAAAACGGTTCGAAAAAAAAAAACTTAAAATTTAATAAAAATTGACCAAGTTGGAGCAAATTATGTTTTTGAATAATTATAATAATAGTTGTTACCTAGCAAAATACAAATTGCTCGGTTTAATTAATCTCGATTGGAACGCTAATTTTTTATGGCAATCTGTAAATATCTAATAATTAGTGGAGCTCTTAGGAAACATTAAAATTAAAATTCATATATTTTTAAACTTGATTGTTAATAGAAAAAAATAAAGATTTTATTACATAAAAAACGAAAATAATGTATTACATTCTTTTTTATAAATGTTCGAAGTGACCTCCATTATTTGTAACACAGAGCTGAAATTTTTAGACCCAAGCGTTTTTAATATTTTCTAATGTCTCAGGTAAAATATTTTAAATATTTTGTTCAATTTTGTCACAGAGATCAGGCAATGAACACGACGGATACACAAGATTTTCAAATAACCCCATAAAAAAAAAATCCATTGGTGTTAAGTCGGGCGACCCAGGTGGCCAAAGTACTGAACCCCTTGTTCCTAACCATTTTCCCGGGAAGTGCCCGTCCAGCCAACCTCTCGCAGTATTCGATTATATGCTGGTGCACCGTCTTGGATAAATTGGATTTTAATATTTTTTTTTTTTAGAGCTGTTTTAAAAAAATATGCTCAAGAAAATGGCAATCTTAAAAATTGAATTTTATGCCATTCAATCAGAATTTCCATACTAAGTATTGTAAAAAAAACCGCGTTTAAATATATTGATTTCCCCTGGAGATATTAAGGGTGATACGGGACTTATGGGACATCTGTATTATACGATCTCTACAGCACATACCTGGACTCGAATTCTCGCCGCCGACGATCCTACTGCTCTCGGACTTTGACAACCTGTTTCTGCCCTGAACGCCGCAAGGTACAGAGTAGTTTAGAAAGCTAAATAAAAAAATAAAAAACTGGAATATCACTGAAATGCCTCAACGGTGAATATGTTATTCGCGGTGTTACTCTCGCAATGAATCGTTATTGTGGTTCAATGCATCGATGCAGGGCTGATGGGATTTTATTTCATTCGATAAGACCGTCATTTCTTGAATGATTTTATTCAAACGCGAGGTAAAATCGCCGCCAAATCCTTTCAAGTTGTTGGTGTCGTAAAAGTTTCCTTCGGGTATTAATTCGGAATCCGATTCCAACGAACAATCTCCTACGGAAACCGATTACAATGCGTAAAATTTAACTCTCAAACAAAAACATCGTCAAAATGAGTTTATAATAATAGTAATATATATATATATATATACCGGTGATGCATTTCGTAGCAGCCGCGTGCAACACTGCTAAACCAAACACAGCGACAACGATCATGATCGACTACTGAACTACGGTACAATACATATTTATTTCTTATTATTTTTTTTAAACAACTCGGACTCGTGTAGTTTGCCTTAAGGCATCGACAGACCAACAATAATAATATAATTATGATTTCGGGTGTATCACTGTCTTCTAATTTACAACATAACGCTAATGGAGTGAAAAATAACTTTTGGAACGTATAATTAAATAAAATACAAATGTTCTAAACAATTTATTAGGCATTCAACAAATTACAAATAAATACAAGAATCACGTCAAGTGATTTGAAAAAAATATAATTCAATACAGTTCAAATAAATAATACACACACACACACACACACACACAAATATATATATATATAAATATAATAATACTGCATCTTTACACTAATTTTTAGTAGGCACAAAACTGTGTGCGCGTTTACAATTATCGGTAGCGCATAATATTCTGCACGTCTTTCGGTTGGTCCATTAGCAACTGTTTGCTCGTTATTGCTTCGTCTGCCGGTACAATTATGCAAAATGTAATAAACGTACAGCCCCATCGGTGGTGCAGTAATTATTGAATCACTTACCGATGGACGATAGGGTGTTAAAACTGTCCAGTTTTTTCTTCCGTTTCACCGGACTGGTGGCGCATTGAGCAGACCCTTTACAGCGGACCATTTCGGACAGCGATTGTCGAAGCCAATCCCTTTCCCTGGGATCTAACGTGTGAATTTGATTCCATTGTTGAAATTGATCGATTTTCATATCGTAAAACGTCACTAGCCCGGTGACGAACTCGCAGTAGAGAAAATTGTGTGTAGCGTTAACCGTGCGAAGACACGAATACGTGTTGTTATTCGCGTTCATACAAAAACAAAATGGTCCTTCTGTAAAACGAGAAAAAAAGCCATGTTGAAACTCTAACAAAATATACGTGCAAATATTATTTTTTTGTTTTTAATCTAGTACTATTCGATTTACTGCTCGAAGTAGTATGCTAAAATTGTTAAAACTGATACGAGTTCGTTTAGAAGATTATGTTCAACAGATAAACTGTTATATAAATTATTTTTCAGGGCTTTCTATGACTGCGCCGTTAAAAAAAAAAAAAAATACAATTATCAATATTATGAGGAATCCAAATCTCTTTTAAAAATTTAAAATTCAAATTTTTATTGGTATAAAATATATCTACATCCGTATTACCGGAAAAATAAAATGAGCCTGACTAGATATATTTGTTGATATATACAAATATGCTATGAGATAAACTTAACATTTATATTTTTATACAAAATAAAAAAAAAAATTCTTTCCCTTTAAGAACTTACTTAGTACAACTAAGTACACTGTAAAATAAAATACAAATCATGATTTTCTAAGGATCACTTAGAATTCTGTAGAACTTGAAGCGTTAAGAATTTTAACTCAATGCTCTTGCATCATCAGTGCATTTTAGCATAAATACATCTAAACACGTCAAATTTCGTATGTATATACATGTTATGTATAATATGAATATTAATTATGTATAAGGTAAAATATTCGAGTTGATTTAAAAGTTATAACTAATGGAATTTAGTAATTTGTTATAAGTTACCAATGACAAAAAAAAAGGCAAATATAAAACTCATTAAAATATAAATATATCTACAACAGCATCATCATAAGCATTATAATTTAACGTATACTCGTATTATATAAAATTTTAAAACATATTTTTGTGCCCGAAAATGAGTTCATGCATTTTTAAGATTAGTTAATTAATTAAAACTGAAATAAAAATAAAATCTTATCGGTTAGATGATCTATGATTGTCACACAACATGATATTTTTAATAAATTTAACAAAACCGGTTTCTATCGTGTTAATTAGGGCATCTTACCGTTCCAAAATGGTGCTGTTCGCCAATGATCATTATCGTGATTGAAACAGTTCATTTTTTCTAACATGCATTCTTTATCAAGTTTGGAGTTTTTTTTTCGAAATTTCCTTCCTTTTTTCTTTTGTCTATTAGCCTTCAATAGCTTTTTTACCTCCTTATTGAGTGTTGGGTCATTGTCGGAAAATCTATATTGTATCAAAATCGAAACAAATACATTAATATTTATAAAAAACTTGATTTGAAATTCGATGTTTACATATCATACATAAGCATAAAATAATTGTTAATAAACTTACACAAAAGGAACACAATAACATGTATCTGTAGTCGTTGAATTGATATTTATAGATTGTAACTTATGTCCATGATGATGTCTTAATCTAGGAGGTGTGACTCCATCTACAAGTAAACTGTCAGGACTCAAACTGCTATTATGTATGTTTGGTATCATCCTGTTAAATATTACAATACCAAATAAAAACTCATATCTAATTAAAATATATTCAATATTATATTAACCTAGGGCTCCATTGTGTTTGTGAATAATCTGTTAGTAAATTAATAACAGAATCTTCTTCATCTTGGTCATTATTCGCATTGTCTACCTCTTGATCATCATCTTCAAAATTTGGTCTTTTAGTTTCAAGGTGCTTTTTTATTTCTTTAAGTTTAACTAGTTTGGCTTGTAGGTTTGAAATTTGTTTCTGTACACGATTTTGACTGAATTTCCAAACTTTTGGATTGTTGTAAACAATATTTGTACATTTGACATCTCCATTAGGGGTGACTGTACAACTAGCCAAAGAAGAATCATTGACTACTGTTTGTAAGACATCAATTTTTTTGTTCAATACGTCCATAATTGAAGACATATTATTACTAAGAGGATTCAATAGATCTCTGCGAAAACGTTCTCTGTGGTTTGACTTTTTTGTATTCCTAAAAAGTTAAAAAATTTAAAAATTTGTCATAAAAAAACTTTTAATATTAAAAATATGTATTACTTTGGGTTATGTTTCTTGTTTTTATCCATTTCAAGTTTTGTGTATAAATTTCCATCAGCAGAAAAACAAGTGCATTTGCTAAGGCCATTTAGAAGCCTGTTACGCTTTTTTAAATTACACTTATGTTTTCGCCACCTATAAAACATTATAAAATAATATTATGGTAAACAGATCGTCTCCAATTTAAAATTGGAAACTTTTAATAAGAATGTTGACTATTTGTTATAAAAAGAAATACAACTCCTTATTTTTCTTGATTGTCAGTTATAAAAAATGATTTTTTTTTATTATAAAAGTATTTAGTTTGCTTTTAAAAATGTAACAACGAACCTGAAGCCATCACGTACACAATGCCACTTTTGTCCCGGTTTACAAGGAGTTTGGTAGTCTGGTTTCTGACATAATACAAATAGTTTACTAGCTTTGCTACCAGCAGCAAATCTCATATTGTTTCCAACACTGAAATCTTTAATAAACAATTTTAAATTTTATACTTTCTTAGTTTTATAGTAATTTACCATTGATAGAAGACAATAAGGCAGATGAATTTATCTTGTGTTTATTATGTTCTCGTCTACCACTGCTTTCAATTAAAAATGTATCAGGCCAATGTGCAATAAATTTTTTATTACCCTTTTTGTGTTTATGGAATAATTTAAAAGCTGAACGACCATCCATATGGGCAGGTGGGTCAACTCCAGCAATGTCCAAAAATGTAGGTGCTAAGTCTATATTTAGAACGATTTCATTAACTCTAAAAATATTATAAAAAATATTAAAATAACAGTATGTTACAAAAAGGCGAAAAATTATTTGCTTACTTTGTTCCTGGTTCGATACCTGGCCCTCTTACTAACATTGGTACACGTATATCAAATTCAAATGGAAATGATTTGCCTTTAACCAAACCAAATTGACCCAAGTGATAACCATGGTCTGAAGTATAAATAATGTAAGTATTATCCAATTCACCCAATTGTTTTAGTTCTTCATAAACCTATAAAAATTAATTCTTAAAATGTATGTCAACATTTTTAAATTGTAATCATATTTAAACTCACTCTAGATACAGCATCATCTACACTTTGTAATGTTTGCAATCGTTTGGTCATTAATAAATTTGTAAATTGCCTATGAATTGGCAACATTTGTCCGGTTACTTGTAGAATCCATTGTTTGTCAGGATTTGGAGCATAGTCATAAGTAGGAGTGCTGAAAATAAGAAATAAATATGGTTAACAATTAAGAACAGTGTAAGAATTAAATAAACAATACTTTTGGAAATTAATTTTTTTATACTTTAATAAAGTGTACAATTCAAAAGTGGCACATATTTTAAATTATTTAAATAATATTTAAGGCATGTTTGATCATTTTTAAAGCATATAAATACCTTACATAATGGTTAAAATATATTAGGTTCAACGTTAAAGTGATCAACCTTTCAACAATAATAATAATTGAATAATTAAGATTTAGATAATAGGCTGATAATTATATAAAAACAGTTTAACTTAAACAATTTTCATGTTTTTTTAATTTTTTTCATTAGATGTTCATGAAGAACTTTATGACTTTGTATATACTTCATAGAAAAACGTTGAAAATATTGAATAATGTTAAATATCTGTGATAAGTATTTAAATTGAATATTAAATATATAAATTCGAAATTCAATTAATATTAATAATATACATTGTACATAATGAACATAAAAATATTAGCATTTGTAAGCATTGTAAGTAAGCATTCGTTAGTAACTGTTATTATTTAGACCCAAATTATTATAATTATAATTAATGATCACCATCTTGTTAATGCGTTTTATTAGTCAACAAATTTTATTATAAAATGATAATTATTGTTTTTTCCCTATTCACATTTTTGCAATTTTCTAAATAAGTTTCAACACTTGCCATTTTACTATCGTTATTTTGATATATATTTGTCTATTTATGAATTTATGATTATTATTATTTTTATGTAGAAAATGTATACATCATGAAAACGTGACAATAAATTTGACAGAAAAAATATCAGGTTTGATAGTGGTCAGCATACACGAACCGGTTTCATTCACAAACAGTGCAAATGATTAGTTACCACACACGACTTTGCGTAAATCTCGTAATTAGTTTTTGGCTTACTGGTGTGAAGTCACGTTAAAGAACAGGTTAGAGTATTCTGGTGCAGAATCTTCAGGGCCGTGAGGCGACGGAAAACTCATGACAAGCATAAACGGTCGATGAGGGTGGTGTTGTTTCGCGTGCCGAAGAAAATTGATCGAATCGTTGGTAACTACATTTGGATAGTAATCCTGTAAATAGATTAAATATTTAATATCGGATTAAAGCAAACCATATAAGTATATATAACAGTATGTTAATTTAAAAACCAGTCTTAAGCCATGGCTGTTATAATCAATGTCTACCTTATGATAGTCGTCCCCATGTTTGATTTTTTTACCATTTAGGTTTACTGAATAATTGTAATATTTAGAATTCATTATAAGACCACCCCATTGACGCCAACCAGGCGGTATATAGCTTCCATTATATTTGTTCAAGTATTTACCAAAATATCCTAAACATAAAGAAATTGTGAGTAATAATTAAAAAAATAATTAATAATTAATCATTCACAATAATTAAAAAAAAAAACAAATGTTTAAAATAGTTAACTTATATAGGGGAAGTGCTTCAAATACTTCAATTTTAAATAATAAGAGGTACTTAAAAATACCTGTATAATATCCTGCTTCATCAGTAAGATAAGTAGCGAAAGTCCTTGACTCATGCACATTTTGCCATACTGGTCCACTGCAATTGTCATTATTTGTGAACACTTCGTGGTTGTGTGTATACAAACCAGTAAGCAACGAACTTCTTGAAGGGCAGCACATAGGAGTAGTGCTGTAAGCATGACGGAATTCAGCACCTTCATCTCTAAGGAGTCTTTGAGTTTTTTTCATATAGTTTAATGAACCTGGAAAATATATATATATATTTTTTATTAATATGTTACGCTTGAATTGTAAAATTCTCATAAAATATTTATTTTTGCATATTACATTTTACATGGGAGTTGAAAAATATTTATTTTTTACGAGAGTAAAAATATTCCGATGAGGGGTGTAAACTATTTATCTAAGTACAAATAAAATTAACATAAATTTACAGTGGCGTGTACCTAGAATTCTTTTGCTCTATATGCATACTCGTATTTATACAGCCGTCTCCGAACTTTTATATGATACGAATGATTTTTATGCATTTATCTATTCTTCTTCTTTTATACCATAATTTATAGATGTACAAATATTTATTATTTTAATGTTCATAAACAACAAAGACAAATTATTCAATAAAAATGTTTTTTTTATTTTTATTTTATTTTTTTATTTGCTTTTTCCCACGTTAAACCGTTATACCTACATATTTATATTTCATGCCGATTATACACCAAATTCCCCAATTATATCTTCATAATTCAATGATATAATCTCAAACTTTATATTCAGAATTCACATAAGCAATTATCGTTCATAGATAACCTGACATATGGTTTTATTATTATTATTTTTTTTTTAAGCGCATTCCATTTCATCATAACTGTAACCACCTTGAAAAGAAACATTTTAATAATTATTTAAAAATCATCTTTACAAGCTTGCGTTCAAGAAAAAGACGTGATAATCAGGAAAATAATCCTCTCTCCATATGCGCCATTAATTATTTTTGTTTATTTACAAATTAAAAACATTAATCATTTAACTGTTCACACAAACGGAAGCGAAATTATTTACGGTACAACATTTAAAAAAATCATTTCATTTCCTGTGGAAGATACAACAGACCAAATTCACTGCCATCAAACATATTTAAATAATAATAAAGCTTAAATTTAGTTAAAAGAGGGGTTTATTTTTTATTTTAAGAAATTTCAGTGTACCAATAATAATTTGACGATTATTTAAAAAGCCATCAATTATGTTTTTAACTGCAACTTTATTTCATACCATATTGCTAAATTGGTCATCTTTCGAAAATAAGTAATCGGAGAAGTAAGCATAACAGGTGTCGGCCGGCTAACGAATGATTAACCAATTCGCCATGCCAGAATATGAAAAATATTTAATATTTTTGAGTCGTTGTAGGGTAGGAATTGTGTTAATATAAAAAATTAAAGTATATTAAATTGAGATTTAAAATATATGTATGCGTATAATAATTTTATTACTTAGAAAAAAACACTTTTATTTAAAATCTGTTTTAGATTAACACGTTCAACAATTTAAAATGATAAATTATGTGAAAAACTTCATACCTAAAATATTATTTCAAGGAGCATTAAATAATTTAGAATTCAAGGTCACATGTAGTAAAACTTATTGTATTTTATTACATTATTTTTCGTAGTATTTACCTACATAGTAAAATACAACCGGCTTTTAATTTGTACATAAAAACTTTTTAAATCTATATTTTTCTATATAAGACTACATTATTACTACTATAGCTAATTAAATTTAAAATGTTTTCTACTATTCTCACACTTTTTAAAAATCATCATGAAATTTTTACGTATAGTTATTTAGTAAAAACAGAATTTACTTTCAGATGCAATAGTTTTTTTTTAATTCTGTGTAACTATAAATTATAGAATATTACAGTGACAATTATTATTATTTATTCAAGAATGTAATTTGTTTTGTTATAATGTATTTAAAACTGAAATATAAGCAAAATAAAAAATAAAAAGTACTTGTTAAAATATTTTTATTGACTATGAAAATGGTTGACATTTACATATTCATTGATTCATTAAATACTAAATTATAAAAGCATATTAAAAATTGTAATAATATTTATACAAATTAAATACTTCATATTTTATACACAAATATATTTTATACATTAACATTAACAAAAAAATACAAAAAATATTATCTTAAACAAGCATGTCATACCGTTAAGGAAATGTACCCTTTGTATTTTTTTCAGTCTGCAATTTTAATATTACGTAGAAATAACTCTAAAATTAGAACCTTCTCATAATTGAGAATAATCTTATTGATTTTTTTTTTCCGATTTAATGATTAAACTGAACTATTTTTTTTTTTTTTTAATTTATGATTTTAATTGTATAGTTTTAATTCTAGGACGTTCTAAATTTTTTTTTTCGGTTACGATCTTAACGATCTTATTATAACGCATAATAAGTTTAATTTTTAATATTTCAAATATTTTGCAATGTTCCATGTTGTTGGCAGACAATACAAAACATTTAGCAACACTTAACCTTTAAAAAAGAAAAAAAACGCGTGCCCTATGGGATATTATGTTTACTCGTTTTCAAAAATAAATGTTTTAAGTATTTTATACATTGCTTAAACAATCTATAATAACATTTAGGTAATTATTTTCGGATAGAATTATGTGAGCATCTATAAATTGGCACATTACCAAATATTTTTTTTGTCAGCGTGACTATCGATTAGAATGTTTTAATTATAAAGTTTTAAACATTATTATGGAAAAAAAATCATTGAACTATACCAGCAATACTTAACCTGCGGCCCTTCCACGATTTATATGTGGCCCGGACAGAACTCATTGAATTGATAAAAAAATATAAATTTCAAAACTAATATTATTATATATATAAAATATAACAAAACAATCGAAGTGTGTCGCACGCACTTGCGATAAGGATGATTATGTTATAGGTACTTTTTCTATTTATAACGATTTTGATGTGTTTTATCTTATCGTTAAACTGGCCGTAACTCGAAGGTAGTTACGCATTATGATTATATGAACGGTTAGTCACGTTGTAGATGTGTAATAACGTTGGTGTCAGGCACATTTATTTATTAAATATCTCAATCGTCAGAGGCGTGAAACATACATTTGTTATTTTATTTTTTATATTTGTTGTGACATTATGGCAGGCGTATCTTCGAAAAAATGAAAAATATCTGAAGAAAATAGACTGTATCAAGACAATTGGGAAAAACAATATTTTGTCGTACGAAATAAAAAGGGTTTAGCTACTTGTTTTATCTGTCGAGAAACTGTTATATTTAAAAAAATATAATATTTTTCGTCACTACACTACAAAACACGAATCATTTATAACTACTTATAGTCCCGGATCTTTGATGAGAAAAGAAAATTTAACTTTTTTTAAGAAGTCATTGTAACAACAACAATGTGTAAAATAAAATTATTTCGCAGATGGCGAATAAAGTTTTCGCTTTTGAAGAGAAACTGGAGATTTATTACAAAGAAATACAGAACAAAGTGATACATAATTTCCCAACCCTTATAAAAGCTAAACAAGATGATATAATTTCTGAAACAAATAATAAAGTAATTTTAAATCATTTAGCTGCCTTATCCAATGAATTTAAAAGAAGATTTCAGAATTTAAGAGTTGTAAAGAATTGCTTATTACTTATAGAAAATCCTTGGTACTTAGAAGTAACGAGTATAACTTAATTAACTGCATTGATTGTATCCGATTATTCAAAAGTGTTTGATGAATTTATTGAATTAAAGAATGATACAAATTTCGAAGCTATATTCAAATAACAGTGAGAACAAAAAGGATACATAGAATTTTGGAATTTAGTGCCAAGAAAATACAAAACCTTACAAAAATTTGCCCACTTTTTGACGAGAATGTTCACATCAACATATATATGTGAAACTTCATATTCAAAAATGAAATATGCAAAGAATATGTACAGAAATCGGCTTACTGATTCACATCTTGACGACTTGTTAAGAGTAGCATGCAACAACTACAAACCAGATATATCCAAAATAATGAAAACCCAATCTCAATATCAAAATTCACACTAATTTAGAATAAATATTTAATTTCATTTTTTTATAATAAATTTTCAAATGTTATACAAAATACACAATATATAAATTTATTTTTAGTTTTTTTTTTTTAATTTCCGTTCCATTAATTTCGACTTGCGGCCTGCGTAATATTTTAAAATATTTTATGTGGCTCAAATAAAAAAAAAGTTGAGTATGACTGAACTATACCAATAACAAGTAAATATTGAAATTCTAATAAACATTTAATCTATTTGCTTCTTCGAAAGTAATTTTTATCGTACATTTGAAAGTAAATCGAAAATGATCCAAACTTATTCGTAATTTAAAAAAATATACATTTGTATTTTATGCAATTCATATTTTAAAAAAAATAAATAAAAACCTATTATTATTTAATTTATCACTAAATCACAGTTTACGAGTATATCACTTCTAATGAAATTGATTCGTCGCCGAGAAAATGAATTTATTAATCTGGTATTGCCATTTTTTTTTTTTAAAGAAGATTATACCATAATCGCCCTAATGGTTACAATGAAATATCAATTGCAAGGAAGTCCGTTTTGTATAATATTCGGTGTATTTCATAAGTCTTAATATTTTAATTGATAAATTAAAATATAGGAGAATAAATTATGGTAAAACCTCAATAGCTGAAAACTAAATTAAAATTGATTTTTAGAAAAGAATTATTAACTGTTAGAAAATTCAAAATAAAAATAAATCCTCTTTAAATATATTAAACCGTTTTTTTTCTCCTATCATTATTATTATTATTTTTTTTTTTGTGTCCCATGGGTCTTACGTTTTAATTGATTGAGTTTTTACAAAGGTAGACAAGAATATGAATGGAATATAATATAAATTATATTTAGTATCGATAAAATTTGCAACCTATCATCAAAATATTTTTACCTATCTGCATGTCTTGATTAAAGTGAACGACCTGAGGTACGATCTATGTACTAATGGACTAAAATTATTAAACATGGTAATTTTTTTTTTTGCCTTTCCTTTAAGACAATCTTAACAGTTGTTTTACGTTATTCATTAAATTATTAAGCACAGCCGATTATATAAAGTTAAATACAGGATGGCAAAATCTCCACTATTTATGCTGAAGTTAATAGTTAAATAGTGGGAATGTACTTAATTTATCAACTAATTTTAATACTATACTTATGAACTTCATGGGTTTCCAAAAGCTATTGATTGTTTCAGAGCAAGCTCCGGTATCAGGATTTATAAAAGATCCAATGAGTCGAAAGCTTTCATTACGTTATGAACTATACAACCACAAAAAAACTTTTTATTTCTATACAAACAAGTCTAACGATGAGGCAAATTATATACAATACATTAAAATACCCGAGTTCTCGGATAAGGCTACCATTATAACGATTAACTAAACTATGGAGAATAGAAATAAAAGTACACATTACATGTTCTAAATTAAATGTCTTAATGATAGTTGCTAGCATTATATGAAATATTCGGTTGTCTTTCCGCATTTTTAACTGATACTCTTACATAAAAATTAAATTAATACTATCATTTTAAAATATAAGGGACTATTTATTTTTAAAACTCATACCTAGAAAAACAACAAGCATGACGTTTTATTTAATATTATAAAAACTTTTTTTAAGGATGCCCAATTTTTTTCTAAATTATTAGTTGTTTTATTTTAGTTGACATTTAAGATAGTTAACAATAATAAAAAAAATTGGGGTATTTTCTGATAAATTAGGAAAGCACGGGCACTTCCAAAATAATTAATTTTGTTTCTTAGAGCTTCTCAAAAAAAAAAAAAATAAATATATATATTTGAATAAACAATTAGTATTAATATTTAATTACATGCGAATTTGAAAACTTTAATAAAAATAAAATTAGATATGGAAATTGCAATATTATTCATTATAACATTTTTTCTTCGAAAAAAGTATCAAGTAGTGTATACCAGTGTTCTTAATTGTTTTTCTAAATGCAATTTAATAAATGGAATACAATTTGACTTTTTTTCATTTATAAAATAATTATGGGATTTGTATAAATGATTGAACTTATTTTTTTTTTTTTTTACCGCATTACATGTCAACGCTAATTCTCATTCTATCTTAAATCGTGTAAAAGTAGTAATAACCAAAAGAAAGTAATACCTTAAAAAATGCAAATAATTAAATTTTTTTTTTTTTTCAATGAATGAGCTAAATTACTTTTAATATTTAATTGAAGTTTATTTATAAATGAAAGAAATAAATAAGTTGTTTTTATGTTAATAAAAATATTTTGATTTTAATTTAGAAAATAACCAGTGACATTTTAGATTCTGAATGGAGTGATGGAATCTATTGGTTGTACAATGATGTGTGTTTTTTTTTTTTTGTGTCTGTCATCACGTTTTAAGACAGTAAAAATGCTTCGATTTTCATAAACAGCAACTTTTCTAAAAGGAAAGTGAATGTAGATGGTATTTTGGCAAGTCAAAAATCAAACTTTTTCAATACTTTTTAAAAGCATCGAAAAAAACCATAAAAAAATGATGAAAAAACGGATATTTTTACGTACAACTACGTTTTAGCAAACTTCATTTTTTTTTTTTAAATGCTCCAACTGAAAAACGAAAAACCCCATACACTTGAAATTTTCACTAAATATTTAAATTAGCGTTTTCTATACATGGTAACGTTTTCAAAGTATTTTGAAATTTTTTGACTTATTTATAGACAATTTACATTTTCAATTTTTCTAAGTTTTGTTTTGAAATATCTATAAAAAAAATTTGGTAATCCAAAAACTCTTGAAAATTTAATACAAAATTTATTATAAGTTATACTTACTGCAACCAAAAAAAATTGGAAATCGTTTTACACAAATTTTTTTTATAAGCCCATTAAGTTCAAATTTGTATAAAATGTGTCAAAATCACGATAATTTGCAAGGTATTTTGTAGATAAGAATTTATAAAATGTATTCTGTTTATACTTAAGGTTCAACATTTTAATACAAGGTTATCCATAAGTTATTCTTCTAATAACTTTAAAAAAATTTTTACCGGACTTTAAGGAAAAATTTTTATGACTGTTTGAAATTTAAATTTTTACGAAATTGCATAAAATAACGATTTATCCTCAAACGATTTTAAATATTTGTTATTATTATTTCGAGTGAAAGTTGCAAAAACTCGAAACTTTTACTAGTTATGAAGTTTGGTATTTTCTTTAAGCGTATTTTTTTCAAAATATTATACTGATTTTTAAGCAACTTATAAGCATTTGAAATATTCGATTTTTCCTAATAAAATAATAAGAGCTGTTTTGTCTCATTTTTTGTTAATTAAATATAGTTATATAGGATATTTATATAGAAATTATATCCAAATAGAAAATTTTTGGAAGACTGCTTTCTAAATATATATAAGATTATTATAATATAATAATAATATATATATAATATTTTTTCTATATATATTTAACAAATCATATCCGTTCAGAATCATTATTCGTATACAATGATACCTATCATTGCATTCAAATTTAATAAATCCATTGTAATGACCTTTCCTATAAACGAGGTGCACTCCACCCCCTACTGTACAGCAGTGCGAGGTCCATCCGGTTCTTTTAAAATTAAACTTAAAATTTGTATTTCTATATCCAAAGCTAATTTGATGAATGCTATTAACTATACAATAGAAAAAAAAATTATCAATTTGTTGAGTTCGGAGTGTTATAATAAACCTTATGTAGGTAACCAGAAAATTGTAACCCTAAGACCTATGATAAATTAATCATAACACGTACAACGTTTATAAGTATTAATTTTAGAATTTCTACGAAAAACAATCATAACTAATTATGTGGAAAATGTATGTTCTAAGAATTCTGTCTTGTAATTCTTAACAAGTGTCTACGAAAAGTTAGTATTATGTAAATGACGAGTACATAATTTATAAAATTAATTGAACGCATGGTCAATTATAAGATTTTTAAATGTTCTAAAAATTAATTGTCTAGTATAGATTTATAATAGTTATTAACTTTATTATCAAGCTAGTCGTTATAAGTTGCTCAATAAATATCAAATATATAATATGACATGGGTATAAATAATTTTTAATTTTATCATTGCAATGGTGGGAATTTATTTAATCATAATTCGATGAAAAACTAAATGCTGTTGTTCTCATGATATTACCGCGTTCTCCTGCACCCTTAATTTCGATAAAATGGTAAAATTATGTGCAACACTCAAGGGATAAAAGAACACGATGTATCTCCATCGAATATCCCAAAAACACGCATCACATTATAAAATACACGGTACGAACCGTAATATTTACAGTTACGTATCGCGGGGAAAACATGCGCGCAAGGTCCGCAAGAAACAAAGTTTGTCGAGCATAGCTTCGAGGAGTATTCATCTTGCGGGACTTGAGCGAACGGGAGGCAGCGCGTGTTTAATTAAGGAAAACGAACTCACCCAATTCCACGTCTTGATCGTCAGTCAAGAACAAAACGATGTTCGGTCTCCTTCGGTTGTCTTTCGGACCCTCCTCGGCAGCGTGCTGCTGTTGTCCCTTTCGGAACTTTGGCACCCTTCGTCGCGAGAGCACCGCGTTGTCCCTCTGCATGAACGCGGCTGAGTCCGAGGCTTGCACCGCGCACCAAGAAAGCACCGTCAGCCACCACCAGCACCACCACAACGACCGTCCGTGGCTACCACTCATCCCGGCGTCTATGGTCCCCGCGGGAGGGTGGTTTTTATTTTTCTTTAATTTTTTTCTTCGCACCGTTCGAGTGGCGTGTCGCGGCTACAGGATCTCTACTTGCGGGTGAAGGGACGGTTTAACAGCCGACGACGGACCGTTAACCGTGGCCGCAGACCGGATACATCACCTGCGCAGGGTTCGAAATATAGCGATGCACCAAACGTGGGCGGGTGCCCGTACGATTCGGCCGCGGTGGGGGATGTGATACGATGCGAGCGATCAAGTGAACTGCGTGACGACGGTCCAAACGTCAGGACTCTATCTCTCCGTCTGTCTCTGTACCTGACTGTCTCTCACTACCTCTCACTCCCTCTCTCTCTCTCTCTCTCTCTCTCTCTCTCTCTCTCTCTCTCTCTCTATCACTCACTCACTCACTGGGTCAACTCAATTAGTGTTTGGCGCACGAAGCGAGAATGAACTTGGTCTCGTGGTAGCGCGAAGGACCAAGTCGTCGCGAGTACTGCGTTGCCGCCGCTGGCGCAGTGTTACCGCTCGCAGCGGACCGAATTAACGTTTACGCATTCGGGTCAACGGCCTTCCCCGTTCGGTCGGCCGGTGCCGCGCCATCTTCGTTTTTCTCGTCCTTCTGCCCTAATACGCTGCCCCTGTGCACGTATCTGGACACGTGCGCACCGTTGTGCCTCGCGACTTCCGACCGGACGCCGTGGGGAAAAAAAGAAAAAAATACGAAAACGCGGCCGTCCGCCCGAACCGGTGCGCGACGACGGTACGACGCGCGTACGCGCACTGGACGCGTAACGTCGGGCCATACCATCGCGCGCGCGGTCCGAGAGACGCGTGTCCCCGCGTCCTGCCCACCCCTCCGCCCGCCCGTCGGAGTGCGAATCGCACGGATCGTCGACTTCGCCTCGTGCCGCATGACGGGAAATCACCGTGCAAGGACCCGAAACCGCGTATTGTCCGACAACGGTTTCGCGATCTTTTTTTTTAATTTCTTCCTAACCATCGTATTCGTCTACGTCGCGTTCGAAAGGCGTTTCGGTTGAAATCCTTCGATCGTGCGTAAACTTCACGCGAATCGGCGACGGGGGTAGTACGTCCGAATACCGTTACGCGGACGCCGGCGCAGGGAACGGTGTTGCGCAATTGAACGGAGACGATAGGTACTCTCGTCTTCGAATTCTTTTGGATGAACAATAGACCTTACGACTACGGGTAACAGATATGAGTAGGAGATCGGATCGAACAGACGACCGACAAAAAAAAAAATTTTCACCCTATAACCTAGCACTTCATTAGAAAAACAATAAATATTTTACAACTCATAAACTACACTCTTGCGGGTTTATACAGATCAACAATTTTAAACCATTATTCGCACATTGCTGAGGCGTTGATACTTATCCTGGATAGGTTTCTATAGTTTAATCACTGATATTTCATTACATTTATATGCGATATGTCGCATAGTCATTGATGACTTTTAAACGTACACACTGTAAAAAAAACCATTTTCCTTCATAATTATGGGTTTTTATCATTTTTATTTTTTTTTTTTAATTAAGCTTAATTAAATTTAAAGAAGAGTAGACAGTAAAATTAATGGATCTTTTTATAAGATATACAGGTAATACAATAAACTTACCAGTCAAATAAAAGTACCTTCTCTATAGTAACAATAACTGAGATAAAAATAATAGTATTAAAAAATGTGTAGATCGCTTAAATCATGTTTTACTTAAAACCTTGCACCCCCACAGTACATTTTTAGTACAAGAAAAACTATTATAATCCACATTTCATAAATTAACGTAAACATTTACATAATATAACTCATGGTTAAATTATTTCAATGATTATAGAAACAGATAAGGCTTTGTCTTTAATTATGTTCAAAAATTGTATTAATATAATCATGATTTTAATGTAAAAACTAAACCTATTGTTATAATTTTCCTATAATAATCATGTAATTCAGTTTCATTCTTCCGTCTACCATACAGATTGATAGGACATTTGATACATTTGATATGTAACTTAATTCTCAGATATTAATAAATAGTTATAACTTTTATGAATAATTAAAAATTAATAAATAATTTAAGTATAACTTAATGAACATATTTTGAAATTTAATATTAAATTATTTTTAAACCACATACAAATTACTAGTTTCATTTATCACAATTTTTATGGAAAAAAATAATTGTCAACAAGTATAATATGTACAATTGAAAATACACCTAATTATAAATTAGGATAAAGAATAATAAGTTTATATTAAATTCACATTTCATATAAAACAAAGGAAAAACTGGTTTTTGTCGGCACTAAGAAAACTGTGAAAATTGAATACAAACAACTATACAGTGACCATGTAATGTAACACCAGCAAACCTCACATGAAGCACTGCAATAAATACGTTAATAATCCCGTAAAATTATTATAAGCCATAAATTATTTTGTACAGTAGTCTACACTTTAATACAACATATAATACAAAATTAAAAATTTAAAGTATTAAAGAAATCATACAAACGTTTACGCGGTAAAAACGGTACTGTAATATGAACTAATTACGTTCTTCATTAGAAAATAATTTAATACACAAATTATAATTATATACTTTAGAATGAAATAAAACAAATTGAGAACAAAATTTATATTAATCAAACAAGCGTCAATTGTATTATAAATGGGTAGTAAATATCTCGGAATGTCTAAAATAATAGAGTATCACATTCAAATTTGTTAGAAGAAATTAAATTTGAAGTGGGTACTGTCTTTTAGTACCTCGATAAAAATCGAAATAACTACCTACAGAATAGAAACGTCTACGATAGTAATTTTTATCAATACTAAAAGCAAATTGCTACGGAATTTAATGAAGTAAAACAAAATCTTTATTTTAATATTCAGCGTTTATATAAATGTTAGTAAATAATCACACACACGCATGTTACTCCTGTACATAAAATTAAATAAAAATACAGAGCTATAATGAACAGAGAAACACAATTCTGAATTCTTAAATAAACACTTTAAATTGTATTCATGTAACTATAAATTTATATATTTTTCACATAATGTGTAGACATAACGTTTTAAAATATGTATATTAATTTGACGAAATATAATTACTGTAGCAGTAAAGTTATATGTTCTTATAATTTTGCGACATTAACAACTGCCTAGTAAATTAGATGCCTAAATTCAAACTAAAAATATGATGCAAACACACGCATATATTTTTCAGTTCTTCATAAATGCATTTTATTTGAAATTTCTAATGATTCATCGTTAGTTACAGTCATATGTGTTGTGAAAAAGTCAGCAAACTTGTTCTCGAAAAATAAAAAATGGAGTTAAACTCAATCGCAAACATGAAGAACTAATGATTACGTTAGATAAATAATACATATACTGCGTGAGTAACATTCTAAATGAACAGTACAAAACCGAATCACAAGAAGTTGAAGCCAAAATTTATAAAACAGGTCCTAACTACACCTTTGCCAAACCAGACCAGTCGCGAATAATGAACCGAGACTTGTACAGTCGTTTATCGGCAAACTACAATAAAATAACACTTGCACACTTTATTATTATGTAATACAAATTATTATAAACGGGGTGGATTAAATATAAATAATTTAAATATATACATAATTAATGAAATACTATAAGACACAAGATATCTTTTAATATACCTAATCTCGTTGAAAACATGTAAATCATAATCCTGAAATATGTATTTTTTTGATTTAAACTTCTTTAATATATATGAAATTAAAATAGTCGCTTTGAAGAAAATAGTGGTTCTAAAATTTACAACTGTTATTTATTAAAAAAAAAAAATATTTTTCATAAAACTATAATAGCTACTATAATTCTCAACACATAATATCATGTAATATATATTAAATTATGACTATATATTTATAAATTATAACTATATTTTATAAATATTAAAATATTTTAATCACAATTTTATTCGAATAAAAATATTCACGGTTAATATAATTGAAGAATTAATTGGTTTTTTGATATTATAACATCATACGCCAACTGTTACTAAATATATAAATATAATCTTATGTTTTCGTAAATTAACGTAATTGTAAGAAATAGAATTTTAGAAATTTTCAAGAATTTTCATTGCTTAAATGACACTTTTATTTCAAATAATTCTACATTTTGAAAAACGTATCAAAATATTAAAACAAATAAAGTACCTAACAACTGTAAATTAATATTATAAATTATTTAAAACAAATAATTAAATAATTTTCGATAAAGAGAAAATAGAATAAAAAAAAATGTTATAGTTAAGCACACTAAAGAATACCTTAGATTATTTCAGGGGGTAAAATATGATAACTTCATGAGGTTGTACATTTTACGAGTGTATGGTATGAATGCAATAAGAATATAAAACGTTAAATTTAAACTTTTAAGTGCGGTTAACTACGTAGTGCATAGAATACGCGTAAATTGATTGAGAATATAGTGAGGGGACCTCAATTTCTATTATATCTATTATATTATTATTGTAACACCAACCCTGTTCTCCTATACATGCATTATTAATTTATTTATGACTATAAGTTTCAATACGACAATGCTAATTTAATTTTATTAATAAATGTTTGATAAAAAAAAACTATTTACAATCCACAAACAAAAATATTCTTTTCGAATAGCTTCGTAATTAACCTAAAATTAAAATATAAAATGGTAAAATATTGAAATAAAAAGTCAGGGCATTTTACAAATACTTTTTATTTTTATTTTTGATAGTATTCTAAACGTAGTTTCTAATACAAATTGATTTATAGTGTTCGTGATTTGAAAACGCATAACATAATCACAGGTTCACGATTCTGTATAAAATATATGGAATAAACGTGAACTTGATTCGTAATAGGTTAGTAGGGCACTTCGAGTTCTCAGGAATTGAAATTTAAACTATAAATGATAAATGCACATAACAACTTAGGTTCATACAGTTAATTTTACTATAATATAATTTTAATATAAAAAGTTTGTAAAAATAAAGTTATATAATTGGATTAGCCTGTTTCTAAAAGTAATTATAATAGCATATTCGGTGTAAAAATATACGTTTTCTAAAAAATAAAAAAGGAAAAAATTATATTTAGGTAATTTATATTATATAAGTCTTAAAAAATTATATTAAGACCAAAAATCTTTGATTTTGTATGTGAGTTTGATTAGTGAGACGACCGATGTGATTAATAAATGACGACTTAGTTCTACAAGCGATTGGCATATAAAATATATTCGTTAGATAATCGTTTACGACCGTTATTCATGATACCATTTTGCCGGGAAACGGTTAGTTTTGTGTCACTTACAAAAAACGAATTATGGGCGCAGTGTTATACATCAATTTCAGTATCACCGTGTAAATTACAAAGGATTCCATTCGGCAATAAAAAAAATAGCACGTATTTCCTATCCAACCTCAAACATCTTCCCATGGTAAAAAAAAAAAAAGTAATACCTAACAATAATTGATATTTGACGGTTTTATATTTACTGTCGTGTTTAGTGGATATTGGATAACGATCACGATTTCGAAAACCTTTCGGAACATTCATTTAAGAAAGGAAATACACGTATTGTATGCGACACATTGAGGTATGTGTATAAGCTTATAGAATTCAAAACGATCAGTAGGCACCGAGCTGTCTGCCCAACGTCCTGCAATCTGTATACCTGCTCGATGTGATAGCCCACAACAAAACCCATACATGTAATCTAGTCCATTTTTTTTTCTCTCTTTAGGGTCCACATAATCCTTGTTTTTTCTCTTTTCGGTATTCGTAGTATCATGCTGTGTTTGACATGTAATAAAAGGAAAATGGACTCAACAACGGAGAACAGATGGTTACCTAACGCTCCTGACTATCCGCCGGAAGGACCGTACGAGAAGACGGAGAACATAAATTTTGCAGACTTCGTGACTAGTAAACAGACACGGGAATCAAAATAACTGTAGCCTGGGGTAGTAACTGGGGTGTCTATGACCCACGGTTGACACATTCCGGACATATGAATGTATATAAAATAAAATACGTGTAAATACTAAAAGTACCAATCGTGTTTGTTATGAATCCGCGTTAAATGTATTATGTTTTTTCCCCTTGCGTTTTCACATTAAGGCGGAACAATATCAATATCCATAAAAACAGTTTCAAAAGCACAAAGAATTTGCAGACGTGATCAATTCTTCAGAAAAATACATCCTATTGTGTGATTAGATCTGTCTACATGTTTGTAACGTTTCGCAAAATTGGAAACATTTAAAAGGTTAATTTTCGAGGTCGGGTTTGTATGAAATTATTAAAATAATTATTAATATAAAATAATATACATACATACAACTATTTTCTAGTTGACATCGTTGATTTGAACTAGTTATTATGATTGGTTTACAACAATTTGTTAATACAATATAGAAATACAGTTTCTACTTAAGATATTCAATAATACTATATACAAACACTTATCGCTAATAAATGTGATACGATACTTAATATGAGATAGAAACTACCTACATAATAAATAATTTCAATTCAAATTTGAAATATATTGAAAAATATAATAGACTATTTATAAAATAATTATAATAAGAATAAAAAGGAATTATTTATATTATTACAAATAAAGGTATAATTATCAAATGAGTAATATTTTTTTGAAATCCGAAAAAAGGAATAGAAAATAAATATAATAAATTCACTGTTTTCCGTTAACATAATATTGTATTTTATGAATTTCAAATACGTTGTACACGAGTAAGACATATTTTTAAAATGTAAACAGTAGATCCATTGTTTCGAGAGTTTACATTTAAAAACGTTTAGGATTTTATCGTTTGGTTCTGTACATTGTCTGGTCCTCTTTTAGAAAATAATTGAAGAATACATTTCTAACACTAGCAAATAATATACAACGTAACCGGGGGTGTACATTCAATCTTGTTCTGGGGTGGGGGTTAACAAAAATAATCGTTATCTTTTTTTTTTTCGTTGCACAAATAAATAACTGCTATAAATAGACATTATTTTATACTACTTTTTTACCAATTTACAGTTTACTTTTACATTACAGTAAATTAATAGCTATTGGAATATAAAAACAGCATAGTTAACAAAACTTTTCAAACACCTATCAATATAATTATTTAATTATTATAATATTTGTATAGTTGTATATTTTAAGTTCAAAGCGTAAAAATGAAACTACGAATATATTACACGTCATCAATGGTAAAACAATTTTTTTTTTTTTTGGCCCTGTGGGGGTTTGGACCCAGACCCCCCCGTATGTACGCCACTGGACGTAACGAATATATTATTGGACCGTATTCGCGCCCATTCTACGGGTTATCAGCGTTATGCTTTAATGAAAATCGGTGATAATGAAAATCCGATGTACAACGTTTGAACACGTTTTAAGATCGACGCGAAACATAGACTGGCAAAAAAAAAAAAAACCGTAGACAGGTAGCAGCCGCTGCATCGGTGTACGGTTGATACCGTAAACCTATACCGAAAACAATCGTACCGAGAATTACACATGGAAGTAATAATACGGTTAATGATTTCGTATCGAAAAAAAAAAAGAAGAAAGAACAACTGAACAGACAAATGCGATTGTTATACTCACGTTGGGCGCGAACAATAATCGCGGGACCGGTGCTCTGGACGCGTACGTAGTTTTTCGCGAGAAAAAAAGAAAACGAACGCGAATAAAATAAAATAACATAAAAGACACCCGCGTCGTTCGTTCGCGGAGCACAGCTTTGCGCGAACAACACGCGAAGTGACGGATCCCGAAGATTTTCGAACGCTGCGAGGGGCGGTGTGCGTGCGCGATTTTTTTTTTTTTTTTCGCTTCAAACCATTGTCGTACTCACCTACGAGCCGACCCGTTGCGGAGGACGGGACGTTGCGCGCACGGCGACGTGCACCACCTGGTCGACGGCACCGCGATCATTTTCCGTCATCCGGCGGCCGAGCAGGTTGCGTTCGGTCGGACGAGACGGAC